TAGATGAACATGAATATGAATAAACAGATATAGATATAGATAGACATATTTGGATATATTTGGAGAAAGGGATATATAGATATATATGAAGAAAGAGGGATATATAGATAGACAGACATATATGGAGAAAGAGAGAAAGACAAAGATATATATAGAGAAAGAGAGATATATAGATAGACATATATCGAGAAAGAGAGAAAGACATAAATATATATAGAGAAAGAGAGATATATAGATAGATGTATATGGAGAAAGAGAGAAAGACATAGATATAAAGAGAGAAAGCGAGGTATATAGAAAGACATAGATATAAAGAGAGAAAGCGAGGTATATAGAAAGACATAGATACAAATGAACTAAAAGATATACATAGACATACAATAAAATCTAAAATATTGAGATAGATACACTAATATGTATACTGGAGACGCTGTTGTTATATGATGCAACCGTTAGAAAAAAAAATAAAAAAAATAAAAATAAATAAATAAATAAATAAATAAATGAATAAATAAATAAAATAATAATCATAATAATAATAATAACAATACTACTACTACTACGTAGAAGAGTCTCTTTGTAAGAAATAACCATTTTATATAAGATCTATCTATCAATTGTAGGATTCACTTTCTTATTAAGAGAAAGAAACAAACAATATCAATATAATAATCAAAATTAAGCATAAATACACAAATAAAATTAACTTAATGATCAAGAGAAAGAAACAAGCGATTGGGAATCCAGTGATTGGCGAATCTGACGAGGAAGACGAAGGTGGCGATCCTGCCTAATCCTGGGTCACGACCTCTCTCGCAAATCTCCCCGATTTCCCCCAGACAAGGACGGCCGACAAGTAATCCTTTCCCAGTCTGTCTGGAATCTCACATTAAGGACAGACAGACAGACATACACGGAAAAATATATATGTGTGTGTGTGTTTGCGTGTGTGTGCATATATATATATATATATATATATATATATATATATATATATATATATATATATATATATACATACTTGTGTGTGCATATATATATATATATATATATATATATATATATATATATATATATATATATATATATATATATATACATACTTGTGTGTGCATATATATATATATATACTTATATATACATGTGTGTGTGTGTGTGCGTGTGTGTTCGTGTGTGGTGTGTGTATGTGTATGTGTGTATGTATATATATACTGTTTCACTACCCTACTACTCCCTAATACTGTTCCATCTGGACCAGCAAGATGAGGAGTTCCGAACTTAGAATCATTCCTAACCCTTTAATTTACTATACTTTAACTTTCGAATACAACACCATTCCTAACTCCTTTATTTCCTATACTTTTTACCCGAGTACTGTATGACCACTTTGTCTAGTAGGCCTACATTTGCTTCATCAACCATTAACCATTGGCTGTCCCTAAAAGTATTAAAGAAAACGGGACTGATTTTTTTTTGCGAAGAGCTCGGACTAAAGTATTTAAACCTTGGAAGAAAATTGTTTATTGTTTGTTCGATTTACTAAACTTCTTATGAAATGGGTTAGGATTATAATGTTTATTTAGAGTTAGAGTTATTTAGAGGTAAAATGATACCGCAGTAATTATGCCTGAAAGGAGAAGCTGGAAATATGTTAACTTGTGTCTAACCTATATTTTTTTCCCTGTTAATGCAAATAATAATGATAATGAAATAGATAAATATGAAAATGAAAAACACTTAATGATACCGAATAATAATAATGAAATAGATAAATATGAAAATAAAAAACACTTAATGATACCGAATCCCAGCTGATAGTTTACCGACAAGAACAACAAGAACGAAACGAGAAAAAATAACTTTGATAAATAACATTTTGATAACATTTTAATAACATAATTAACATTCTAATAAATAATTTCAATACCGAGAATTAACATTATAATAAACATAATGATCGTAATGTGTAAGAGGTCATGGGAGGTCATCACGGCGACCTGGTTTGAGAATTCCATGTTTCGGGCGCAGGTCAAACGTCGGTCACGTGATGGGATGCAGACACATTCATATATCTTTGTCTGTTTATTTACTTATCTAATTATCTCTGTGTTTACTTATCCATCTGTCTGTCTGTTTATTCATTTATTTATCTACCTCTGTCTATTTATCTATATCTGTCTATCTATATCTATTTATCTATATCTGTCTATTTATCTATTTATCTATATCTGTCTATTTATTTATCTATTTATCTATATCTATCTATTTATTTATCTATTTATCTATGCCTGCCTGTTTATCTATCTGTCTGTCAATTCATCTATCTCTCTGTGTATCTATCAATCTGTGTATTTATTGATCTATCTGTTTATCTATCTACCTGTCTGTCTGTATACCTAACTATCAATCTGTCTGTCTATCAGTATCTCTCTCTCTATCGCTGTATATATATATATATATATATATATATATATATATATATATATATATATATATATATGTGTGTGTGTGTGTGTGTGTGTGTGTGTGTGTGTGTGTGTGTGTGTATGTCTTCCTATCTGTGACTGTCTATCTATATACTAATTTGTCTACCTATCTATCTCTGTGAGTGTGTCTATGTACACATATATGCTAGTCAACAAATCCAACTACACGATAAATCATTGTATCATGATTGCCTTTTCGGTCTGAGCAATGACCCAGAAGGGATATATTAATAAAACGAGGGAGATTTATACAAATATTGATATTAGAAAAATATTCACTCAGTGATTACATGGAAGTCCTCAGTGCTAATACTTCATATTGCTCTGGAAGACAAGTGGAGGATACAAAGTAAGATTGTTTCGAAAGTGTCAGTGGAACTTGTGTATATTTCTTCACTGTGCAACTTCACTTACACATTATTCATTTTGTGATTTTGCGTGTATCATTGCCTTTACAGTGGCACGACTATTTAGAGAAAAAAAGCATAAATTAAAGTGTACTTTCTTAATTATACCATTTTTTCGAAAGTTCATTTGCCACTTCGAAGGCGCCCTAGTGTTTGACTCGACCAGTGTTCGGATCTTCTCGTGTTCGAATCCCTCTGCCGTGTCCTCGCTGCGGCCCAGCCGCGTATGGCGAGGCCCCGGGCGTCCCTGTGCTCCTGCGCGAGTCGTTCGTGCCTCGCTTGGCCTCCCTGGCCAGCCTCACTAGGCCAGCTCCCTGGCCAGCCTCACTAGGCCAGCTCCCTGGCCAGCCAGTCCAGGGCCTCGTACACGCCCTCCGACGTGATGGCGCACGTGGGCTGCACGTGCCAGGGCCTGTCGAGGCGCCGCAGGTCGAGGCCCTCGCTCAGCTGCTGCACGGACAGCGCCTTGGAAATGTCCTGCTTGTTGGCCACCACCAGCAGGGGAAGCCTCACCACCTCCTCGCACTCCAGCTGGGGGGGGGGGAGGTAAGTGAGGAGACAGGAAGCGAAAAGGATCGAAATTCAAGTCAATTGGAAAATCAGTCGTTCAAGACGGAAGGGAGGGACAGAACGAGGAACAGGAGAGGAAGGCCTCCTCCAGGGTCGTCCCCAACACTCACAATGGCGTCCAGCTCCTCCTTGGCCTCCTTCAGCCTCTTCGCGTTGCTGCTGTCCACCACGTAGATGACAGCGTCGGAGTGCTGGTAGCAGTGCTTCCACATAGCGCGGCGTATCTTGGAATTGCCGCCCACGTCCCAGACGGTGAAGCTGATGTTCTTGTACTCGACGGTCTCCACGTTGAAGCCTGGGGGGGGGGATTGCTGTAATGCTATTGCTTTTTGTTGCTGTTAATTGCATAAATCGCCTTCGGGAGAGGAAGATGAAGTGACTGAAGTATAATGGCATTATGTTTGGCAAAATGTGTTGGTACACAATTTCTTACCATGAACTAAGATGATTTGGAATAGTTCATAAATTCCGCTTTATGCTTTCCACGTAACTTTACCAAAAGAAGAGAATTTATACAATATATCAGCCATTACTATTCGAAGAAACCCCCTGGTTCTGCTTCCCCGTGTCCCGTGCAAAGGAATGAATACACCAATCATTTCTATTTAAGGAAGCCCCTGGTTCTGCTTCCCGAGTCCCGCTGCCTCGCCTCCGCAGCAGAAGGAGCCTTACCGATGGTGGGAATCGTGGACACAACTTCGCCCAACTTCAGCTTGTAGAGAATGGTGGTCTTCCCTGCGGCGTCCAGACCGACTGCGGGAAAGAGGCCGGATTTTATCAATAATTATGATGAGAAGAGAAAGAAATATAATGATAAGAACGCTAATAATGATCATAAAAATAAAGGACGATAACAATAGCAATAACTTCTTCATAGCTTTCTCCCATTTATAGAATAACAAAAACAACAAAAAATACTAGAAGCACTTAGAGGGCGCATACCTCCGCCAAGGCAATAGTCACTGATGTAATAAAAATATTCACTAGAAGAATTACATTCAAATCCCTTTCTCAACATAACCTCCTTGGCGGAGTTAAGAAAGGTAATGATAATGAAAATAATTAATATCATTATTAACTTACATCATTGTCATTACCTTATATGGGTAACTGATGCATTCACTGAGATCCGGATCACCACCAAAATTGAATTGAATTTAAGTTAGGCTCATCTTACTCTGGTAAAAAACTCATTAAAAAAATTCTCGAGTTGGCCTGCTAATCAACGAACAAATTATTTGACCTGCGCGACCAAAAACATAACCTTGGCGGCGGTAACAATGACGGCAGTAATAACAATAACAATAGTAAGAACAATGAACCGTATTCATGTTGACATATGTAGGAAAGGTATGAATGAGAATTAATATCTTCACATACAAGAGATGTATTTAACTGGTTTCGATTATGTCTTCGTCAGAAATACGTGTTACTGACGAATATTACTCATGGTCATTCATACCTTTCTACGAAAAATAACAATATCATTAAGCGCAATAACTGTAGAATTAAAAGGCACGACAGATGTTTTCATTCGCATTTCCCAATTGCTGTCACCAAGTCTTTTCCTTCCCGTCGAAGCGAACGCCGAGAAGGACTCGACCGCCCGCCACCGGCCTCTGAGGAGCAAGCAAAGGCGCCGGCAGGAGTCGGGCGAGAATCCCTCGCCGCCCACTCACCCATGAGGATCCTGCAGGAGCGAGAGCTCTGGATCAGGCTGAGGAGCCGGGTCAACAAGGCCCCCATGGCGAGGGCTCCCGGAGTCCTGTGGAGGGAGAGAGCGAGGGCGGCGACTGCGGGACGCGTGAGCCTCCAGGAAGCGGGCGGCGATCGGGTCGAGCCTCGAGGACCAAGGCGACTGGAGGGACAGCGCTCGACCTTAGGACTCGCGACGCGGTCTCCCTTAACTGAGCGACTGAGGCTTGACTGAGCGCCGCTGCCCCGCCGCCCTCGCCACGCTGGCGGCGGCGGCGGGACAAAACGTTTTCGACGGGGGAAGGGGAGGGGGAGGGGAGTGGGCAGCCTCCGGGGTTGGGGTGTTGCAGGTGTGTGTGGGGGGGGGGGGGTAGTAGGTGATGCAACTTCAGAGAGAGAATCGTATTATAGGAAGGTAAACAGATTGCGTCCCGCCATGGCCAGCGTGGACGGGGCGACGCAGCCACAACAAGCGCGGGAATCGATGCCTCAACATGGCGCAACCAAGCACACGTATAGACCTCGGGTGCAACGCCGCCATGCACGCGGCAGGGTAGGCTTCGGAGCAAAGACTGTATACAAAAGACAGGAAACGTGCTATCTGACGCATTTAAAAGATGTGAGCGCCACGGTCGTCCACCAGCGCCATCTGTTGACTCGACGCCCAACTAAACGGCCGACGTCATTCAGTGGGTCGTGCTCACTCGCGCTCGTGTCTTGGTCAGTTCAGACGTATTCAGAGGGGTTGTGAAGAGCTTATTTACTTATACATTATATATATATATATAATATATATAAATATATGTATGTATGTATATATATAATTAATGCAATGAAAAACACAATACCGTGTTGATAAAATGGAAGAAAAATCCACAATGCACAAAATATGTAGAGAGTTTGTGCATTGTGGGTTTTTCTTCATACATAATTATATCATGACTTTTTGTAGCAGCATTATTTTCTTCATACAATTCTTTAAAATATATGTGCCTGTGGTGTAAATAAAAGCTTCTATCTGCTCGATTCTTTAATGAGAAGAAAGGTTCATGAACAGGCGACGCCAGGGAACGACGACCGCACAGCCGAGGGCGACCGAACGACTGACTCGCCGGAAGTCGCTCTCCTTCCCAGCCCGAAACTACCCAATCGGCGATTTAAGGTTAACAACTGTGAATTGGTAGTTCATACACGCACGGCACACATGCGGCGTATACAACATGCCATATACAGGGGGCGCTTGTATACTAATACACAGCACATTCATATATATACATATATATATATATATATATATATATATATTAAATATGATATACATATATATACATGTATGTATGTATATATAGACATATGTCTATATAAATATATATGAACACATATATATAAAATCCTGAGTGACTACAGTACTAATCATTTATGTTCTCGCTCTCTCTGTCGCTCCCTTTTTTTCTCGTTGTTCCCTTTGTTTACCTCTTCTCTCTCTCTCTCTCTGTTTTTCTGTCTGAATATCTTTCTCTCTGTTTCTCTCTCTCTGATTTCTCTCTGATTTTCCTTTTTTTCTCTCTCTCAAATTTGATTCCCTCTAAGAAAATGGTAAAAGCTTGTCTTTTGGGCAAAATGAACATGCTATTTTGCATAATTAACGACACTACGCGCTGCTAACACAAAAAATTGCCGTTCTTTTCCCGCCACGTCTGTTCCCTGCCGTTGCCAGGGACCGAATGGCGTCGCGCGCGCGGTCTCGTTGGCGCGCTTTTCTCTTTAAATTTTTGAATGGACGAAACGTTTTTTTTTTTTCTTGTTCTTTGTTGTTGTTGTTTTCTTTGGTATGGGGGTGGGGAAGAGTGGAGGGGGGGGTATTGGCAGAGGGGGGGTGAGAGAGGTGGGTGGAAGGGGTCAAGTGTATCAGAAATGATAAGATTCGTTGTCAGATAAGATTATCGGAGCGGGGTAGGGGGAGGGGGTACCGGGGTAAAGCGTTTCCTCTCTGATATAAAACGTTGATTGAAAACAAATGAATGATGAATCTATAGGTCATTGGGTTTAGTTCCGCTTCCGTGGATTTGACCAACGCGCTGATAACAGAAGTAGGAAATTGGTGAAATAACCTGTGGATATTTAAAGGGATACGTGCCTAACGATATCAGATCCAGGGGCCGAAAATACGATCATTTAATGTTAATCAGAAAATGGGGAATTAACCATTGTAATTGGAAATAATATATAATTTAAAGCACATTTGTTTGTTTATTCCTGCAAGAATAGAGATTCATTTGACTTCGGTCCACTTTGTCAGGCTATAAAACAATACACAATACTCTCGTTGCTGATAATGACAGAAATAATTATAAACAACCGCACGGCATCTATGTAAATGAGATTATGACATGGAATATCATCTTTCTTTATCTTATTTTCCTCTTTCAAACAATACACATTCCAACAACTCGTTAAATATTCATATACCGTATATCAACATATTCACATTATTTACATGATAAAAAATGTCCCTACTGTACAGCGACCAACATTCGTTCCTAAACCTTCCACGCACATTAGTCTCCACAGACACTGAACAATCTGAACAACACGCCGTGCATATTGACCGCAGGGATGTCGTGGGGAAATATTTATTAGCCAAGGGAGGTTTGGGACTAAATGAACAGGTGGGTTGAACACGTCTGTATTCCGCCTATATATATATATATATATATATATATATAATATATATATATATATATATATATATTGATGTCTGTCTCTCTCTCTCTCTGTCTTCATATCTGTTCTCTGCATTTATTTGTATTTATATATATCTATAGGTATCAGTCTATCTATGTTTTTATATAAATCTAATATATATATTTTGTTTATATTTATGCTTATCTACATATACCACTCTATTCATTTATATGTACTCTATCTATGTCTATCTATCGTTATTATATATATATATATATGTATATCTACCTCTCATTTATATCAATATGTATCTATATCTGCCTTTCTGTTTATTTATATCTATATCTATCTATCTATCTATTTATATATATATATATATATATGTGTGTGTGTGTGTGTGTGTGTGTGTGTGTGTGTGTGTGTGTATGTGGTATCTCGACGTGTGTATCGACGAAAAACGAGTGATGAACAATTCCAAAAGGAGAAAATGAAACGAGACGTAAATATAAAAATATTCATGTCAAAATATTCCCTCAGCGACTACGTGGATGGGAAGTCCTCATCGCTAATGTCTCTCTGTGTGGGAGAAGAGAGGAAGAATGCGAAGTGCGATTGCTTCAAAGTGTTGGCGAAACTTGCGCTTATTTTGTCTCTGTGCAACTTCACTTATACATTATTCATTTTGTGATTTTGCAAGTGCGTGGCATTGCCTTACAAGTGGCACGATTCATTTGAAAAATAAAACTGAGAATTAAATTGAACTTTCTTCGTGAAACCCGCATTTTCTTCCTCTGTAAGGTCCATCTTTTGATTTTGTGACTGTTTCGAAAGTTCATCTGTGACTTCGAAGGCGTCCTTGTGTTCGACTCGACCAGTGTTCGGATCTTCTCGCGTTCGAATCCCTCTGCCGTGTCCTCGCTGCGGCCCAGCCGCGTATGGCGAGGCCCCGGGCGTCCCTGTGCTCCTGCGCGAGTCGTTCGTGCCTCGCTTGGCCTCCCTGGCCAGCCTCACTAGGCCAGCTCCCTGGCCAGCCAGTCCAGGGCCTCGTACACGCCCTCCGACGTGATGGCGCACGTGGGCTGCACGTGCCAGGGCCTGTCGTGGCGCCGCAGGTCGAGGCCCTCGCTCAGCTGGGGCACGGACAGCGCCCCGGGAAGGTCCTGCTTGTTGGCCACCACCAGCAGGGGAACCCCCGCCACCTCCTCGCTCTCCAGCTGGGGGGGGGGGGAGGTGAGTGAGAAGGGAAGCGAAAAGGATCGAAATTCAAGTCAATTGATAAATCAGTGGGAGACAGAACGAGGAACAGGAGAGGACGAGAGGAGGAAGGCCTCCTCCGGGGTCGTCCCCAACACTCACGATGGCGTCCAGCTCCTCCCTGGCCTCCTGCAGCCTCTCGGCGTCGCTGCTGTCCCACACGTAGACGACGGCGGCGGTGTTCTGGTAGTAGTGCCTCCACAGAGGGGCGCAGCTTGACCTGGCCGCCCACGTCCCAGACGGTGAAGCTGATGTTCTTGTACTCGACGGTCTCCACGTTGAAGCCTGGGGGGGGGGGGTTGCTGTACTGCTATTGCTTTTTGTTGCTGTTAATTGCATAAATCGCCTTCGGGAGAGGAAGGTGAAATAATGGAATCACGAAGTGAAATTGCATTTATGTTTGGCAAAATGTGTTGGCACATAATTTCATACCAGGAACTAAGATTGTGATGTAATGGTTCATAAACGTTTATGCTTTCCATATTAATAAAAAAAAAAAAAAAAAAAAAATCTACACAGGAATGAATATACTGATGATTTCTATTCAAAGAAACCCCCAGGTTCTGCTTCCCAGTGTCCCGTGCACAGGAATGAATACACCAATCATTTCTGCTTAAGGAAGCCCCTGGTTCTGCTTCCCGAGTCCCGCTGCCTCCCTCGTCTCCGCAGCAGAAGGAGCCTTACCGATGGTGGGAATCGTGGACACAACTTCGCCCAACTTCAACTTGTAGAGAATGGTGGTCTTCCCTGCGGCGTCCAGACCGACTGCGGGAAAGAGGCGGGATTTTAGCAAACAATTATGATGAGAAGAGAAAGAAATATAATGATAAGAACGCCGATAATGATCATGGCAATAGGAAACAATAACAACAGTAATAACAAAAGCAACAAAGACAATGACGA